GAAAATGTGATAAATATTGTATAGTTTTTACATATACGCTTTACGCTTCTTGTATTTTTAGTGTTTATATGTGAGATTAATGTTATAAAGTGACTATTTGTAAGATAGCAGCAACAAATATCGATACTTCTGGACTTGTTATCTTCAGCTACTTTCAATATCTTTTTGGATTTTTTCGCGGATTGATTTTGATTACGTCGGGAACCAAAAATCTTGTTCTGGAAACAAAATTTTGTTCTGGAGTAATGCCGCGGCGGCGCAATATATATATATATGTATATATATATATATATATATATATATTGTTATTTTGTTTTGTCTATTGCTATTTAAAACACAATGACAGACACGGAATAAATATATTAGAAATAAGGATAAACGTTCTACTGTTCGCTTCTAAGCAGAGCTGCATCCTGAGCCGGTGGTAGATTCACATACTGACATTTAATTTAAATTTAAAAAATGTAAAATTGACGATACAAAAGTGCTTGTAAAAGTCTATTTGAATAAAGTATATTTTGATTTTGTACAAAATTCTCTTTATAAGCATCGTGGTCAAACGGCTAAAGCGCAAGATTGACAATCATAGGCTCGAGCTCGAATCCCGGTCGGATACAAAGTTTTTACTTTTGTTTTTTTTTTTGTATTTATTCAATATTTAGTTTTTTTTTAAGAAAATTGTACTTCCCAAGCAAAGCTCGGTCGCCCAGGTACTGGTATAAGTATAACAAAAAGCTTTATATGACATGTATATAGGTTAGCCAATAAACAATCCATATTAAATTTCACTTTATAAGTACGTAGAAAAATATTTTTAAACTATAACCAACGGCATTACACTGTAAGTATTGCTAAGTAGGAAAGATAAAAATTCAAAATCATCCCACGTTAAAATGTGCTACAATGTTGCTACGAAATTGGCATGCATTGTGGGCTGGTTGTATTGAAAAGATGTTATTTTAATTTGGTTAAATATTACCAGGTTGTAATATATCTGTGTGATTTATTTCAATTAGTGACCTAAATTCGATATACGCCTACGCCCGCGTTATAATATTTTCTTCAATATTAAACGAGTTCATTCAAAACTGGTCTTTTACAAGTAATTGAAAAAAAAAATTGAAATATATTCAGTCCTTTTTAATGTCCCACTTCCGGGCACGGGCCTCGCTTCAGTACGAGGGAGATCAGGCTAGTCCACCACGCTGGCCAAGTGCGGGTTGGCGGATTTCACATGTCTTTCGAAAACTTGCTCGGTTCTCTTAGACATGCAGGTTTCCTCACGATGTTTTTCTTCACCGTTAAGACAAGTGGCAATCATGTTAAAAATCATTTTGAAATGACTGATAATAATTTAGACAATTTGTAACGTAAAGAACGTTACAAATTGTCGAAATTATTATTAATTCATAGATCATAAATAATCACAAAAATATTGAAATTGGGACAGGATCTAAGCATTGTCTTAAGAATTTCTAAAATTACTATTACTAGTGCTCGCCTAGTGGTCAAAAATTTAAATTTATATTTCAGTACTACTTAGTTGTTTCGTCTTTACCTAGTTTATATATATATATATATATATATATATATATATATAAATATTATATATATATATATATATATATATATATATATATATAAATATTATATATAAATATATATATATATATATATATATATATATATATATATATATATATATATATAGATAGTTCTTAACCACTCAAATAATAAAAATACATAAATTCCGTGGTATAAAAATAAATGTGTATAAATATTATAAATGTGAAAGTTTGAGAGTATGAATGTTTGTTTCTCTTTCACGCCAGAACTGCTGAATGGATCTGGATGAAATATCGCACAGGGATAGATTATAGCCTGAAATACATAGGCTACTTTTTATCCCGGAAAAATGTACGGTTCCCGTGGGATAGGTTTGTCATTGTGTTCCTAGAACCCGAGCGAAGCGAGGGTGAGCCTCTAGTTCAATATAAAAAAAATTGAGAACAATAAAGTTACTAAGTTCAAAGTTGTTCTGCCTTTGCCTATTTATAAATAGATAGTTCATAAACACTCAGGTAATAAAAATACATAAATTCCGTGGTATAAAAATAAAATTCCATGTTTATAACGTACATACTCGTAGATATGAACAACGGTTCGTAGCTACACGAGATATAATGCAACGCTACGCCATTGTAGTCTACTTAATGCTTTAGGTTTCACGTTTTATTTTACTCCCAGGCCAAGGTTACTAGAAATAAAGCGTATTTTAACATATTTCATATTTAAAACGTTTTGTTTGCGAAAGTTAGTAGGAAAATGTATGTTAAAAATAATTTTCTTCTAATCAAATTAACTTAAAATTCAGTATATATCGCTTATATTTAATCTTAATTTTTTCGAATATTTATCGATCATACATTAGATCCCTTGGATTTTTCATAAACTTAATAATAATAGGTGTTGTGTGCGCGGTAATTTCAAAATTTCGAAATGCGGCACATTGTTTAGAACGAAATGTGACATCAGAAGCTATACGAGTAAATGCCAACAGATTTGTATGATTGATTGGCATGTTAGTGTATGATTAGAAAAAATAGTTGTTACAGCAGTTTTTTTCAAATTAATGCTATCTTATTATCTGTTACCACTACCCGCGGTTTCGCCCGCGTTCATACTTTCGAACGCTACCAAATTTGACAGGATCACCCGCTAGGCTAAGAGATGTATAAAAATTTCATAATAATCTCTTCAGCCGTTTTGCAATCCACAGAAACATACACACATCGATTTTTATATATAGTATAGACGACAATATAACATACTAGCATTGCCCGCGGCTCCGCCCGCGTTCAGATGACCAAAAACCCAAATTCTTAGGTTTTACATATTAGTATACTCTCACATTGCAGTTTTTGTATTTTTTCTCAGAAATGCGATATTTTTCCGCGGTAAAAAGTATCCTATATGTTGACCCGGATAACCAGCTATCACCATACCAAATTTCATCAAAATCCCTCCAGTGGTTTCTCTGTAATGCGGTAGCAGATAGACAGACAGACAGGCATACACAGTACAGACTCGGCTTAGTTCCAATTTTATGTATAGATTAGGGATCATTAAAAACGCTGAAATTAGCACTAAATGTGACGTCATACCAAGCGTGCGAACAAGGCCGTGTTTAAATCACTCAACTTTGTTCTGTTTTAAATATGTTTTTAAAATGAATTTAAACACTTTCAAATTTATTTATATTTTTACGATAATATGAGAATGTCAGCAATGAGTTAAAATTAACAAAACTGAATGCATAGTGTATATACGCGATTGGACGTAGTTATGCAAAATAGATCCAACCACAAAAACTTGCTTTTGAGAAAATACGAGTTTTAGTTAAATTGGTATATCAAAATAACAAAACCGCAGTTTTTTTGAAATATCTCTTAAATGTTGGGTAATTTATCTACTTTCTGTAGTCAGTTGAAAATATGTAGTTGCCATTTATGACAGTAACTCAAAAACGGTTTTCGTGGGCTGGACATTAACACACAGCACCATCTAGTTCCATGATAAGCTACGAGGCCGGTGTTATGGATACCAGATAGTTGATACACTACACATATATAACTTTAAATACATACATATTATAAATATAAACACCTATGACTGGAGTACAGACATTCGTGCTCATCACACAAATGAATGCCCCCAGCGGGACTCGAACCCGCGACCACTGGCACAGCAAGTATTTTGCATTACTACGAGTATGCCCAATTAGTGAAATACATTTCAGTATTTTCATCAACCCGTCAAACTAAAATAGCAGTAGACACTATTTTCAAACAAGTTATAAAATCATGGATTGGAGGGCTATTTTCGAGTTGGAATAAAATTAAGGCGTGGAAAATTTAGTTTCGACATGTGTGATTGGGAAAGTGTCAATCCGTATGAGCAGACGGACGACAGACGGGCGACGTGAAGTCAGCTTGTAACGTTGACAAAGGATTGACGTTGTACTTTATATATAACCAGAGCTTAGACGAGATGTCTGTCTACAATTGTTAAGGAACAGCTGATGTTGAAAAATCTAGATAAATTTAGATGAAATTTAGCCCTAGCGACTCAGCCTCGCTCCGCTCGGGTTCGTCCCTACTTAAGTTTTAACGTTTAGTAGAGATTAATTTAGTATGATATGATCTGTGGTACAGTTTTCTCAGAAATGAGATATTTTCACGCAGTAAAAAGTATCCTATATGTTAACCCGGATAATCAGTTATCATAATACCAAATTTCATCGAAATCTGCTTAGTGGTTTTCTCGTGATGCGTTCCCAGACAGACAGACAAAAATTCTAAAAACTAAAGATTCGGCCTCAGTATCGATAATAATAACTATTTCAATAAATATTTAATACATTCTCTAATTATTTAATTACTCTTAATACTATTTAATGCCACTGTGAGTAGGAAAATTGAGTTTAGGGGGTGATTGGCCCTTTGTATTGGTCTGTCTTCTTGTAAAAGGTCTGGGTGTATTAACGACTCATTTTTAACAATATTGTCTAAAATATACGTGAAAATCAGCTTTGAGAATGTACGTGAGGTAAGTAATCTTTTGAGGTACCTTGATTACCTGATACCTGAAAATTGGCCGTCTAACCAAGTTAGCAGGTAGGCATGCGATCTTAGTACATACTAACACTACTCAGTCGTCCACATTTAGTTCGTCAGAAAATACGTGACGTCTGGCGGCCCTGGGATCTTGGACTATGTGGAAGACAGATTACAGCTCTCCGAGGCGCGGGGATGATACACAGTTAATTTCTCACATCGTAGCTATTACTGGGTTTTTCTTAACAGAATAACTTAATAACTAAACCTGGCCTAGCCCGGAACTTGAACCCAGGACCTCTGGATCTGTAGTCGTACATGCTAGCCATTCCACCACCGTAGTGAAATCGTATATTATATTAAAGCCAAACACACAAGACTTACCCCAGACCAGGGACCGGCAATCCACGTAGGACAGTTGTGTTCGTTGCAAGCTTGAGTCGACCGCGGCGCGGGGGAAATACAGCCTGGTTCTGAACTTGTCTCTGAAACATATTATATATTATGCATAATACGATTCTTAAAAATTGATAAAATGGCGACAATGAAGGTATTTTACTTGAACGGACTTTTTAAGCTATCTTTTCAAATTTTAAAGTAGGTACGTTTAAATTGTAAATTAAATGAAATTTACGTTTAAATTACGCATATAATATTTATATTACGCATATAAATAAAACTCTTTATTTTTTCGAATTATTTCGTTTTTTTTTATTCAAATCTTTTGTTGTCATGGTTACGAATGCTTTATAACAAACATGGAGACACTCTTTAATGGCAATATTCGCGTCATGCCAACATCGGGAACAAAAATCTGAATACCAACTACAAAAATTTTGAAAAATACGCAATATAATTCATTTATTAATAATGTAATATACTAGCGACTTACTGGGTGCCTAAATAATAAATAAAATAAAAAAATTGCCGATACAGTAACTCCACAGCCAATTTTAATTATTCGGTTTTAATTAAAGCTACCATGATCGCTGACAATAAACACATTTAACACCTCAAGGTAAATTTCTAAGAAATTAATTAAAATTCTAAGAAATCTATTGTTAACTGACACGCCGGCGTGTCCGCGGTCGTGGAGGGATTAAATTGGAATAAAAAAATCCTATAGCACTCGACGGTAATACTTATAGCTTTCTATCACTGAAAGAATTTTAACAATCATATCTGTAGTTTTAGAGATTACCCCCATACATACAAACTTACAAACTAATAATTAGGTAGTGTAGATAATAAATAACGTCCTCTAGACTGATTACGGCCACGGCAGCCAAACTCACTGAGATTAGCCAGCTCAGGAGATATTACAGTGCACACGTGTACTAGCAGTCACAACGTGCACTCTCTTTTGCTTTTACTCTCAAAATCCGATGGGACGATACTTCCGGACTACTACCGGTGCGAGTTAAGGCGGAGGACCGATGGCTTTACATGCTGTCTGAGGCATGGGGGTGCCACACTACAAACTTACTAACTCCGGGCTACTACTGAGAATATACTAACAGCAAAACTCGGTAATTAAACGTGGCCCAACCCCGTACTCGAACCCAGGACCTTCGGATCTGCAGCTACACCCCAGCCACTACACCTTCGAGGCAGTAAATAATAAAATTTAAAATTAATATTAATTTACCAGGATCGTAAGTGTCAGTACGTGTGATGTTAGCAGATCGGGCACACAACACTCGCCTAGTGCGAACCCCGCCGCCGCACGTCACGCTACACGACGACCACTCGCCCACGTACCACCTGTTTATAAAACAAAATCTATAATTAGAAACAAAGGCTTTAGAAAATGTTAATTTAGTTAATATAATTACTAGAATTAGGGCCAAATTTTTATATAAAACTAGCTACTCACCCGTGCTCCGCTCCGGTACATTTTAACGTTTAGTATAAATTTCTCAGATATAAGATATTTTCCCGCAATAAAATGTATCCTATATGTTGACCCGGATAACCAACTATCATCATACCAAATTTCATCAAAATCTGTCCAGTGGTTTTCTCGTGATAAGGTCACAGACAGACAGACAAAAAATCTAAAAACTATAGATTCGGTCTCTGTATCGATAATAATGACTGTTTCAATAAGATTTTCCAAAAAATATTTAATGTACAGATTCCACTTAGAATTTTAATATATATTTGGGTTATTAGTTCTATGACACTATCTATATCATCATTTAATCTCAGACTAACAATAAGATATAGAATGTGTACTATATTTATATTTGTTCGACAAACAATAAACAAGTCTAATGCTATTTTAAAGCTCTCTTACCGCACTAAGCCTTTTATCGATACGAGAGTAAATAAGTCATGCACAAAAATCTATACATATAATAAAATTCTAACTGAGTGGCGTCTATACATTAAATGCTTTTTTTTTTTTTTGGAAAATCTTATTGAAATAGTCATTATTATCGATACAGAGGCTGAATCTATAGTTTTTAGATTTTTTTGTCTGTACTGTCCGTCCTTATCTCTTCTTTATTACGGCTATATAATAAATCATAATTAAAAAATATATGAAGATTATTTCATATATGGCAATTATTTTATGTTTTTTTAGTACCCAATTAGGCTTGAATTTTTTTTTCAAAATAGCAACTTTTTCGGTGTATGGATGAAAAAAATACATTATTTTTTTAGAAATGTCTGACACTGTGACACATCGTTAGCCCCGTTCTACAGACAACAAAACGGATAGGGAAATAAAACGCGCCTCTCTAAAATATACTCGTACAATACTATTTTTCACCTTAAATCTTCAATGTTTGGAAAAGTTAAAATCTATTTTTTACTATCATAAGCGAGATTTTTTTTAAATTAATATATTTTTTATATATGTATGTTGAGTCCATACTATTATATTATATCGTTCGAATAAAATGCCGTAACCGACTTCCTTGTCAATAATCGTTTATACTTGTATATTTTCGAACATTTCCTCAGCGAAAAATATGTTTATATAATAAAGGATAAATGTGTGCATAAATTAACAGCTTCAAAAGTTCTCTGATCAGTTGGGACAAATATGTTGTTGGGACATTCATACACAGCACCATCTAGCTCCATAGTAAGCTACGAGGCTTATGTTATGGATACCAGATAGTTGATACACTACACATATATAACTTTAAATACATACATACTATGAATAAATATAAACACCCATGACTGGAATACAAACATTCATGCTCATCACACAAATGAATGCCCCCAGCGGGACTGAACCTGCGACCGCTGGTACAGTAATTCGGGTCACTACAAACTGAGCCAAACGTGTCGTCAAATCATTGGTGTCGATCAGTGGTGTAACATAACCTGATTTTCCCTTTCTTTTCCCCCGGTCCGGGACTCGAAACCTAAAACCCAACTCATGATTTTCAAAAACAGCAAAGAGATAATACGCTTACATAGGAAACCACGTGAAGCGGGTTCAAATCCTGGGTCTCATTGATATTCTAATGTGCGAATTATGTACAATGATTACCACTTGCCTTATGGTGAAGAAAAATATTATAACGTAGCCTGCATATTTGAGAGAACCTAGCAAATTGAAAAATATGTGAAGTCCGCCAACCTGAACTTGACCAGCATGGTGGACTATGGCCTGATCCACCTCGTATTACGAGAAGGTCCGTGCCGAGCAGTGTGTTTAGAGAAACATATTCACCATATATTATATACACAATAGGTAATAGATATCTTTACTTACTTAAAAGGACAAGGATGTGTGTTGCACCGTACAACGGCAGAAGCGGGCTTGTTCGAGCCGTCGCACAATTCCTCTGGAGCGTCCAGTCCGGTGAGACGGTCACGGCATACGGCTAGTGACATTTTGTATCCTACGAACAAAATTACAGGCTTTAAAGGTAAAATTCACTTTATTTAAATCATAAATGTTATTAACTAGAGATTTCCTTAGGTATTTTTAGTTTAGCTTATAAGTTATTCTAGATCGTAATCTATCTGTGTATTAAATTTCATCTAAATCGGTCCAGCCTTTTCGGCGTAAAGGTGTAACAAACTGCCTGGCTGTATTTGCCGTACACTAATGAGCCCCCCCCCCCACCACAACAAGGTGAACGCACATTGGGGTGGCCAGTATTACTAACCTAACCTTTTTATTTTTCTGTATGTATATTGACGATCGAGTAGTGAATATTTAAACTTTAAATTAAATCTATATAAATAAAACTATCTTTTCGGATTATTTCGCGGATTTATTTAAATATTAAGAGACAGTCTCTCCCGTGACCATGGATGCTGTAAAGCATTCGAAACATCGGGAACCAAAAATCACAATAAATCCGCGAAATAATCCGAAAAGATAGTTTTATTTAAAATGTCAAATATTCGCGTAAATCTAAGAAAGTATTAAATCTATATAAATAAAAAAAACGTTTCCTTGTATGTTTGTCGTCTATGCGTATCTAAATCATTTATTTCTAGGGATGTACCCGAGAAAACCCGAGGGTAAGTCATTAGTCTATACTAATATTATAAAGAGGTAAGGTTTGTGGGCTTGTGACGGTGTAGGGGGTAATCTCTGGATCTACTGAACCGATTTAGATGAAATTTGGTAAGAAGATAGAGATCCCAGAAAACACTCCTTAAGAGGGTGAAAATGGGGATGAAAGTTTGTATTGGAAAGTAAGCTACCGACGAACCCGAGCAAAGCCAGGGTGAGTCGCTAGTGATACATAAAAAAATATTTTTATATTATTCTTATAAAATCCAAGTTAAAATTGTGTATTTTTTGTGTCATCATTAATAACAAATTAATTATGCATTAAACGCTTTTAAATCCAGCAAAAACTGCTGCAAGAAAAATACAAAATGCATACAAAAATGTAATTTTAAAAACCTTAAACAAATTAAGCCAGTCTCATAATAAAAGCACGGACTGTTTAAAACTCGGAACAGAAACTACTCCCGGAATGCCTCCGTTCTGATAATGAAAAGAATTGTGTAAAATCCGCAGTATTTAAATAGCCATTAGGAAAGAATCAAAATTTGTGTACAAGAATATAAGATTTTTCTGGAAGTGCGATAATCATTATCATTTTTTATGTAAAAACACAATTTTCTCGTCTAATTGGATGAGTTAAGCTGATTCGACCTGTAACTTTAGAGGTCGTGGGTTCAACTTTTACGTAATCATATAAAATGTTATGTTTATTCAAGTCCAAACCACCAGTCAGAAAATAAAACCGTCTATTATAACCATGTATTAAATGCATGCTGTTAAAATTAATATAATTAACACTGGTGAATCTAAATAAATAAAAATAAAATAAACCAGAGGCTTTAAATAAGATAAGCCAACATAATAATCATTGAAGAATAAAAAAAATAAAAAAATCTCATATATTTTTTTAAGTTTCTTTTCTTCAACGATTGTAGAATGACATCTTCTATATCCATACTTAATATTATAAATATGATAGTGTGTTTGTTTGTTTGTCTGTCTTTCTTTTACGTCGAAACGGCTTGGCGGATTGACGTGATTTTTTGTGTGGAGATAGTTGGTGGGCTGAAGAGTGACATAGGTTACTTTTTCATCATCATCTCACTCCCACGGGAAAACACGTTATAATACAACCCAAAAAAATATTTATGATAAGAATTACATGAAACTTTGTATAAATTCTCTTCCATACAATTAAATACGTGTTTTAGCATTTTTCGAAATAAATTCATCTCATATGGGGGTAAAATAGCGGATAGAAGTTTGTATGAAACCTACCATTTTAGAGATTTTTTTGTAGTTTTAGCGCGAGCGAAGCCGCGGGTTATGCTAGTATTTATATAAAAATTGATGTGTGTGTATATATGTTCCCTCCTCGTAGGCTCCAAAACGGCTGGAGCGATTTTAGTGAAATTTTCAGGCAATCTTCGGATTAGCCCAGCGGGTGATCCTATGAAGTTTGGTAGCTATCGGAAGTTTAATCGCAGGCAAACCCGCGGGTTCTGCTAGTCTTGTATAAGACCCGATAAAACTTTCTTTTACTTTTTTTTATTTAAAATAAGACCCGAATGTCAGTTCTAGCGATATTTCACAGACAAGTCACGGTAATGAACGATTAACAAAGTAGGGGCGCAACTTCTTTTGAATACATAAATATCTAAAAAAGATCAGTTCATTTACCCTCAGATTTTGTTTAATACAAAATTACTTGGGACCGTCGTTTCTATATTACTTTTAGAAGCATTTTATACTTTTACTTACATTTTGTGAAAGTTTTTTTAGAATAAGGTTTGTTATATATTTTTACAGATTAAATAAAGGTTATTAGCACGTTTTTGTTTTAAATAAAACTATCTTTTGGGATTTTGGCGCAGGTTTATTTTTGGTTTTTGGTTCCCAACGTTTCAAATGCTTTACAGCAATCACGGTCACGGGAGAGACTAAGGTTTTAGATGTCTCAAAGGCATTAAATAGTTGTGGCAGACCCACAAAATTGCAAAATGAATAAAAAAAACATTTTTTTTTGTTTTTATGGATATTGATTTTTAGTGTAACAAATACTAGTAGAGGTCAAACTTCCTGCTTCTGCATATTAAGCAATTCTCACAAGATACTCTGTTATTCACAGGCTAATTGAATATAATCCAAACAAATTTTCTAACGATCCGTAATATATTATATTGTAATCATTATTATAATATTTATATAAAAAAATATTTTGCCGATTATATTTATTATATAATATACGAAATAAAAAATTAAAATATACAAAAATATAAGCAGGCAAAGTAAAGGAACGTATTCTAAATAAAAACTTTCATCGCGAAAGATTTTAAAAGAGACGGCTCTTTAAAAATCTTAAAATACACTAAACGCAGCAGTATGTAGCATTTAATTTTAAAACAAAAAGTCAACAGTAAAAAGTATCGTAAAGGTCGGAGAGAGCTGAAATCAAAAAAAAACAAACTGCAAACTGTGCGGTCTGGTAGCTACTAAAAATTCCATTTTGAAATGCATTTTTCTTGTAAAACTTTTTACGTTCTTTTACTTGCCAAATAAAGGCAGTTATACACTTAGATTAATTTAAAATGATGATAGCTCGTCGTCTCAGTGCTTATTTGTCCAAACGACCAATTTACCGGAAGAGTTTTTGATACAAAATTTTTGACTTTTAAATGTCGTTGGTATATAACAAAAAAATAAAAACCGACTTCAAACAAAAGCACTAAAAAGTAAAAAATAAATGATAGGTAGTTTTAATTTACTATACATACCTAATCATATATTTTCGAAGTCGGTGTACTTAAGGACCTTACAAACATTTGCCCTACCTAGACCTAACGATAGATCTAGATCTGAAGCTAGATAAGACCTAGATAAGGCCTGAACAAATGTTACCAACTATATAATAATAAACAGTGCTGTAGTCCATTTACACATTTTTATTATGAGGAATAAACCTAAATAATTATACAGATAATTTTTGTATAACATAAAAAACAATAGAAACTTTTATTCCCATTTAAAAAGCTTTATATTAAAAGTCTTAATAATAATAATAATAATTTAGCCTTTTTATTTCCTTAATAAAATTACATTAATAGTGTGTTTATAGAGCATGCACTTAGTATATAACAATTTTATAAAAAAACAAAAAAATAAATAAAATCTCTTTAAATAGCCTGCACAATAAGCAAAAACTTAACTAAATTTAATTTACTTCTATTTTAACAGTTATATATTTATTTTTCTATTATTATTTTTTTTTATTTATTATTATTAATATATATATATATATTTTTGAATTTATTAAGGACCTCTCCATAGAGTAAAGGCCTCCTCCATTTTCCTCCACATAGTTCTATCATTGGCTTTGTCTAACCACTCTTTTCCTGCTGCTCTCAAAATTTCATCGAGCCATCGCTCCGCCGGTTTACCTCTGGTTCTTTTGCCTATAGGTCCCTTCCATGAAGTTATCTTTTTGGCCCACCTATCTTCGTTCATACGTGCAATATGGCCAGCCCACTTCCATTCCAGTTTTTTGCAGTGTTCTAGAGCGTCAATCAACTTCGTTGTTTTTCTTATATCCGTGCTTCTCTTTTTGTGTCTCAGTTTAAGATTCAGAATGCCCCGTTCCATGGCTCTTTGGGTTGTTAATATTTTGTTTCTGGTTTGTTTGTTGAAAATCCATGTTTGGGATGCGTAGGTAAGAGAAGGTAAGATACAAGAGTCCAACACAATTTTTTTCAGCTTCATTGAGATATTTGATTTCAGAATTTCTTTCAGGTTCCAAAATTTATTCCAGGCCATATTTACGCGTCTCATTAATTCATCTTGGTGTCAAGACTTTTTAAATGACACTTGTTTGCCTAGATATATGTACTCTTGGACATATTCTAGTGAGACATTGTTAATGTGTATTGGTGTCTTTATACTGTTTGTCATAATTTTAGTTTTTGTTGTGTTTAGTTCTAGACCAATTTCATTGCTGACATAATTAATTTCATTTATCATTGACTCTAATTGCGAAGAATTTTCTGCAAAGAGTATGATATCATCGGCGAATCTAAGGTTACTTAGAAATTGACCGTTAATGTCTATACCTTTGTTTTTCCACTTTAGTGTCTTCATGATATTTTGTAGAACGGTAACAAAAATTCTGGGAGAGAGTGGGTCACCTTGACGAACGCCTCTACATACATCAATTTCCGTGCCTGTTTTGTCTAATATTACTCTACTTGTGCTTTTCTTATATATGTCTTGTATGAGTTCTATAGTTTCTGATGGCACATCACATTCCTGTAAGGCTCTCCACATGCTGATATGGGATATAGAGTCGAATGCTTTAGCGTAGTCGATGAACGCTAGGTAGAG